CCAGCTAGAGAGCTGACCCACATGGCATGGCAGACCTGTCTTGTCCATTGCTCCCCTCAGCAGTGTACTTGTCAATCTGCCTGTTCTGCTCCCCCCTCTGTCTCTGGTGAATCTTCTCACCCTCTGTACCTCTGGCCTGTATTCCAGTTCTATGTGCATAAATAAATAAATCTTTTTTTAAAAAAGAAAAGAAAACAAGACAAATGAAAGTACTCCCAATAACCAAAGATAAAACATTTTGAACAATAAAGTATATGTTGGCTTATAATGCCAAATATAAAATAAATATCCATAAAATCTACAATTATGTGAACAAATGATTAAATGAGAAATTAGAGAAAAAAAAAACTTCCTTGCAGAAGAATAACTTATTATTGTATAGCTACTCCACACTAAACGAGGTGAAATGTAACTGCCCAGTCCTGAAGTGTGAGCTGTACACAATGACATCCTTCCAAAGATTACAGTAAGGAAAGGGTTGAGAGTTACTTATAGTGGAGAAACCTGGTAAACATTACTGTCAGATGACCAAGCTAACCATCAACTGTGTATCGTATGGTTATTATAATATATACCTTTGATATGATGTAATGAAAATGACACTTTACCTCTATGGTCATTTTTATTATTGTGTTTATTGAGATAATGTTGGTTTACAGCACTATGTGATTTAGGAATACAGATTCACACCTCTTCAGATGTATGTTACTCTAAACACCCCCACCACCAAAGCAACAATAATCCTCTACTACAGTCCAATGGGCCCTCTCCCCCTCCTCTCACTCTCTGATAGACTCAATTCTGCATACAGATTCCAAAGTTTTGTTTTGATTTGGTTGTGTCTATTCTTTGCTTTGTTTCTTTATACTCCAAATATGAGCAAAATCATCTTGTATTTATTTTTCCCTCTGACTATTTTCACTTGGCATCTTCCCCTCTAGTTCCATCCATGTTATCAAAGTGGCAAATTTTCATCTTTTTTCTTTTATAGATGAGCAGTATTACATGGTGTTCGTAAACGACATGTTCTCTATCCACTCACCTGACACTGGACATTTAGGTCGTTTTCATACACTGGCTATCATAAATAGTGCTGCAATGGACAGAGTGAGTGTATCCCTTCAAATTAACATTCTGTATTGTCTGGTAGGTATAACTCTATGGTTTTCCCTCCCCATTACAAATAATCCCCATCTAATCATGAGAAAAACATCAGACAAACCCCATTTTGGAACAAACCTTCTGATCAGTACTCTTTGAAATTATCAATGTCACCCAAGCAAGGTAGAGAAATGGTCACAGCCAAGAAAGACCAATGGAGACAAAATGATTAAATATGATGTGCTCTCTTACATACAAATGTTGAGACAGAAAGGAGACATTGAGTAAAAACTTAGAAGATCTAAACATAGTACATACTTTTGTGAAATGTACCATACCAATGCAAAGTGCTAAAGTTAGAAGAAACTCATTGTAGGGTATATGGTAGGTAACTCTCTGTACTATCTTTGCAATTTTTCTGTAAATCTATTATTTAAAAAAAAATGAACCAACACCACAACTAAGTTTTTCAGCTTATGAAATGGAAAGGCAAAATGAAATACTGAAGATTTTGGATATTTGTTTGTTTAAATATTTATTTCATTTATTTATGCATACAAGAGCTGGAGTGTAGGATGGAGAATCAGGAGGTGAGAAGATTCACCAGAGACAGATTGGGAAGGAGAACTGGCCAATCTACTGGGACACTGCTGAGGGGAGCAGAGAGCGAGACAGGAGAGGTCTGCTGAGCCACATGGGTCATCTCCCTGGCCAGCTCCATGATACCTTCATAGCGTTGAGACTTGTACCACCAGCGAGGCCCCCAGAAACTCAATATTTGTTAAAATGTTATTTATGTCATTTCACCACATTAAAACATCCATAACTGAAATTTATCCAAAGATATACAAATGGGGGCCCTCCCTGGGGCGCAGCAGGTTAAAGCACCGCATTGAGATGCTAAAGCCACTTCAGCAAGAGTTCGATCCTGCTTTGAGAGGTGACCACATGGTCACAGACCTCTCCTGACCCACCCACTGCTCCCCTCAGCAGTGTGCTTCATTGATCTGCTTGTTCTGCTCCCCACTCTGTCTCTGGTGAAGCCTCTCACTGCCCCTGCACCTCTGTCTGGCCTGTACTCCAGTTCTGTATGCATAAATAAATTCATTTTTTTAAAAAAGATATACAAATGGTTGTCAAGCATGTGAAAAGATGCTCAGTGGCATTGATGCACCTTGAAACCACAATGAAAGGCCATCTCACACCCACAACGATGACTATAACATTAAAAAGTGGAAAATAATAAGTGCTAGTGAGGATATCAAGGAAATGGTGTCCTCATACATTAATGATAGGACTGCAAAATGGTGTAACCACTGTGGGAAACTGTTGATTCCTCAACAAGTTGAACATAGAGTTGCAATATGAATAAACAGTTCCTCTCATCTTTTGGTTTATACCCAAAAGAACAGAAAACAAGTATTCAAACAAAAACTTGCATGATCAGCACTTCATTCCTTTCAATTAAGTGCCATTGATGGAGAGTTTGGCTAATTCCACCTTCAGTTATTGTGAATAGTGCTTCCATGAACATTCATAGTATAAATACATTAATTTTCAGAATAGGCAAATCCATGGAGACAGAAAGCCAGATTGGTAGTTAACCAGGAACTGGAGGATAAAGAGTGACTACTTATAGTTTTAAGGTTTCCTTTTGGGGAAATATGAAAGTTCTAGAACTAAGTAGTGGTAACTGTTGCACACACCATGAGGGTATTAAATGCCTCCTTGCATTGTACAACTTAAAATGGTTAAAATAGTTTATGTTTTATATATTTTACCACAATTAGAAATCAAAAGGATCACTTCTCAGCCTTTTGGCTAAGATAAAGTGTAGGAATCAAAAGAAAAAAAACATCTATAATCAACATGCTTCCAAGCATGGCTATTACACCAATAAATCAGCAATACTTGAGGTATTTGATAGAAATGGAAGTTCCTGAGCTCATCTGATACCCACAGAATTGTAAAGTACTACTTCAATAGAATTTCACATGACCGTTACACACAAATTTGACAAAAAAAAAATTAAGAAAGGAATTGTCTCCTTTATGTTTCCAAACTAAATAGGCTGTGTAATGTAGGCTTTTAGCTGAATGAATAGACAAACATTGGCTTTATTTAAAGGAAGCACAGGTTCCTTCTCTTTCAGCTGCTTAGGATTATGTCAGTTATGAGTCCTGTATTGTGTTTCCAGCCAGTGGAAGTCTGACCAGTGGAAGTCACCTTGTGAGTATGAGGGAAAGGGACCTCTACTTCTTTGTGTTAAGGCACAGGTGGACTTATAGTGAGGCTTACTATCATTCTTTTTGGATGCTCTTTTTGGACACCTGAGCAAAGGTAACACATTCTCTGTGACCAATTTAGCTGGAAAGTACTTTCCTGGCAAAGTCCTAGAAACTTTTACTGATCCAGAATTTAACTGCTCAGGTAGAGGGCTGTATAGGCAGTTGTAGAAGTGGGAGACATTCAGGTCTCCGGAACCAAAGCTATTTCCAGCTCTTTGCTATGCTGGTTGGGTTTACCAGTAAAATTCCAAGTACTCATGGAGCAACACCTACTTGTGAGAAGTCCTCTTAACAAGAGCAGTGAGGGCACGAAAGAGATTTAAACGAATTGATAATCCCCAAAGCAGTTTACAATCTGCTTTTTAAATTGAATTATTTTACTATGTAATTATAATATGCAAACAGATTTGCCCAGCTGGAATGTTTGGGATAGTGATGAAGAAAAGACCAAAAAGTGCACTATGGCTCAATTGTGGTGGGCAGAAGAGACCCATCCCCAAACATTTAAGGTTGGCTGTTTACAGGACATACCAAAGTCCACCCTAAAGTTTTCTAAACTTATCTGCTCAGGGACATTTCTGTAAAAAAAAAATGTGTTTGTGTTCCCTTCAAATAAAATTATTTTGGAAGATAAATTTGATTTACGAAGTCTTGGTTCAACTTTCATGACTTTGAAGGGACATCTTAAGAAACACTACTAATCCTGTTGCATTGGAGAATATAACCCAATGAGTAGTAGCACATGGTTTAGGTGGGGACATTTAATTACCAGCTGATTTTGTGGAATGAGCAAATCCCACATCCCTTGTCCAATGTAGGACAGGTTTGGACCTGTAAATCGGGTTCCAAGTAGCTTCCCACATTTCTACCCCACAGCCCCTGCACCATCTCCGGTGCCCGCCCTGGGCTTCCCAATTTGTCTTAAAAGGGGACCACCAGCATAGCCTTTAGGTGGTGTGCTGGGCTAGCTGCAGAAGGCCCGCTTGGCTTCCCCAGGGGTAACTAATAAAGAGAACCCCTTCGACTCCTCTAGGTGACCATTAACGAATAAAGAAATGCAATTGCTGTGCCCCCGGGCTACTCTCTAGGAAAGGGCGGTGCAGAGCTAGAGGGCACCTTGTCACTGTCCAGAAAAAAGGGAATATATACGTACTGGCAAAAATATAGCCGACGCCGAACTGGTACCGCACCTGACACCTTACCCCAGATGGTACCGTCGGGAGCCTCCCAACTGGTGGTGGATGCACTCACCCAGACCCTCCCCCGGGTTAGGCACCCCGGGTCTGGGGCCAAGTTGTCGCCCAACCCGGTCGCCTGAGAGAGACCCGCGCAGCTGCGCCCCCTTCCAGGAACTGGCGGGGCCCACCCTCGGTTCCTCCGCCCCTAAAGGGAAGCCCCCTGCACCCGGGTACCCCACACCCGCGCCGCCATAGCACCTAAGAGGGGAGGGAGGGCCTGCCTGTGCCCTACACAGGGCGGGCACGCGTCGGGTCACTGCTCCGGCCTTGCGCAGCCAGCCAGGGAGCGTCAGGGCAGAGGCGGGGTGGAGCGCGATTAAAAGGCGCTGCAGGTGGGAGCCGCGGCCTTCACCCCAGCGGGCGGGAAGGCGAACCGGACCCAGCGCGCACTCACAAGTCCACTGCGCCCCAGGCCGACCCGCCCGCCCCTCGGCTGCACAGGGAACCCCGGCGCCTCAGATCCCGCGCCCCCGCCGCGGAGGTGAGCGGACCCGGGCGCCCTGCGGTCCCCACGCCCCACTGAACCTGGGTTGTGGGGTCGCTCCGGAGATATTGGGGCGCGCGCCGCCACGGCCCCGCGGGCGCTGGAACTGCCGCCGAGAAGCCCCGGCAGGTGAGTTCGGTGACCCGTCTCCCGCGGCCCTGTCGCCCTGCTGGCGGCCGCTCCCGGTGGGCATTGGGGGACGGGTGAGGGGAGCGGAGTGCCCGGGGCCACCCCTCGCCTCGGAGCCGCATCTTCTGGAGTCCAGCAGACTGGATCCTCCATCCGGGCGGTGGGCAGCGACCACAGCTCTCATCCCACAGACGGGAGGGGCGAGGAGGGGCTGGTCTGACTTTTACCCCAGATGGTCCCTCTTTGACTTGCGCGACAGGTTTTATAAATGTTTCTCAATGTGTGCAAAGATGGCAGAGATGAGGACTGCCCCTTTTCCCCGACATCTTCTGCTGCGTTTTGGATTTTTTTCACTTTTATGGGTCACTTACAAGCCCCGCTTGGAGTTGAGGGGAGAGAAAAGCCACTTAAGCAGCGTGATTTCCATCAAACCTCCAGACTGGGAAGAGTTGGTAAACCCCGGGGATGGCTGCGCTAAGCGCATCCGAGGAACTTATGAAACGCAGATGACAGTCGTGTGGACAACAGTAATTAAGTGTCATTGGTGACACATCTCACTTAAAAGGTGGAGGCACCCATCCCAAGTGTCACCTGACCTCGTGTGGGTTTGGGTTGTGTTTTGTTTTTTTCTTTTTCCACTTTACCGACCTCCGTCGTCCCCAGAGAGCAGAAGGTGAGTCTCGGCTGTGGATGCCCCCAGGGGTCCGGGGTCTGTGGCGGGCTTGGCGACCGCAGTGCCCCGTAAGTGAGATCTCGCTGTCAGTTTAGTGCCTGGTTGAATTTAGCCTTGGATTTAACCATGCACCGTTGTTTTTTTTCCCTTCGGTGGATTTTATGCCTTAGAAGTGTTCTCTTGTCCCAGTTCTTGTAGAATCTAACCAATGTTCTAGAAGAAAATGTCCTGCCCAGTGCAGTTTCCTTAGAACTGCAGGATGTTGCTCAGCACTGCGCCGCGGAGAGCTTTGTCTGTTATTTGGATCAGGCAGAATCTTTGGGGGTGTTATTTGAACTCTGCCAGGAGGGAAGAAGGGGGTTACTGGCCAAAGAACACCAACACTGTGTTGTGACTTGTGACAGAACCCACGAGGGTGGTGAGGTCTCTGATCACCGCAGTAACCACCGCTGTTTCATTGGTGTTTTCATTTTAAAACAAATTCCGATACAGGTAATAGGGACCTCACTCTGTATTACTTTTTCCCTTCTGAATTATAAGAGCTGGAAGTAAGAGTTAAGAAGGGAAAGGGCAGAAAGCACTACAGGTCTGACTAAACGATCTCAATACGCAGAATGGATGTTCTAATTGGAAAATCCTCACTGAACAGCTTTGATTCTATCTGAATATTCCAGGAGCTCTGAGTTATTTGCATACCTTAGTTAAAATGTTAAACAGAATAAAGTCGTGGGAAAATAATTTCCAACCCATACTTCTGAGCCCATGAGGGCATCATGCTTCTGATGGCTACATTATCATATGTTAGCTAAGTTTCTATTTTTCTTACTTGATCCCTGAAAGCAGAACTGGATCCCTGCTGGCCTTTTCTGTTTTTATTCACAGGATTACTTAATCCTTATTAGTCTTTGGGAAAGACACAGGTTGGCTTAAGTGGAGTGGGAAAAACTTAATGGAAATTATTTGACTTTGAATTCTTAAATACAGTAAGAAATGCATGTAATTCCATCAATTGTCCGTTTTTTGTTTACTTTAGAAAAATATTCATTTTTACTTAATTTTGAAGATGTGTATAAATCCTAAATCCATTTTATGATGACTTGTTATTTTAAAGGAATAGTTGCTGAAACTTCAAGAAATTAAGTTTAAAAATCAGTTATCAGCTAACCTCTTAGATGACCTGGGATTTCAGAAAACAAAACAGATTCTTGATTAAACAGAGGACTTATAGGTTTTTTTTCTCCTTTCATTTATTGTTTTTAATTATGTTTATTGAGGTAAACTTAGTTTCCAATATTGTATGTGTTTTAGAGAATAAGTTCATGCCTCTGCAAATGCCTGCTATCACTCCACACCCACAACAATAGACTACCATACATAGTCTATTGGGACTCCCTCTCTTTCCTCCCTTTTTTTTGGGGGGGGGGTTGTTTGTTTGTTGTTGCTGTTTTATATACTACTGAGTGGGGAGAGGGAGGACCCAGCTTCTCAAGCTCCACTCCTTTTTTATGTTTTAATGTTTAGGGAATGGGATTAAAGTTTGGGCTTGGGAAGTAATTGTAGTAGTAATAACAGTAGTAGTTGTGGTGGTAGTGGTAGTTTGATAAGGAAAAGAATGCATAATAAGGTTTTTATTTTGGTTTTATTGTGTAGTCAAAGTAGGGAGTGTTAGGAAACTGGAGGTATCCAACCTCCCCTGGTTAACAGTTCTGGGAATAAAGAACTACTCACAAATGGCTTACATTACACACATGGGAAAAGTTAAAGGAATATGCCATATCTGTTTCTTTCCTCAACAAGTGACTTCCTTACTGACATTCAGAAACTGCTCAGAGCTTTATATTCAAGTCAGTACGTGCAATATTGGCTTCTAAGCAATCAAATGGTGTAGAAGAGAGCCTGAAACCCTTGAGAGGGATGTTAGCCCTAACTCTCCTGTGATAACCTTTGGAAGTAAGGCTGATTGCACTTGTTTGCTTTGACATTGTTGCCTTTTATCAATACAAACACTTCAACTATGCAAAATTTGGTGGAAACTTGGAAACTGTGAGGAATGTGTTCTGTTCTAGTCTTTCAAATATTTGCAGAATGACTTTGGAAGGTCCATCCACAGAGGAATAGAACTATCTAGAAAAATATTTCCACTTCTTGGTGTTTGCTGAGGGGATCACTAGATTTTAGGGCATTAGTTTTGATTCTGACATCAGTGAAACTAAAATTAGTTATGAATAAATTCTAAGTAAAAGTATAAAGAAAATGCCTAAATTAAACAATAAAGAAATTGTGTGACTGAAACAGAATAGACTTAAATTATTTGAGTCATAAAAGGGGAGGACCATCTATCTTCACAATACTCTGTGTATCATCAGCAGCAGCACCAATGGTTTACTTGTTTTTGGAGCTTACATTTTGGTCTGGAGTTTTAATAACAAGAATGCAACATGGAATTATTTGCTATGATCAAATATACCACAAAACCAAATGTAATTTACCTTTGTAAGTTTAAATGTAACAACATTCTTATACTTAGAATTTGACTGCAGAAGGAAACATTCTATTCTCCCCTTAAAAGAAACCCAAAAGACACCAGTTAAAATTAAATCTTTCTGGTTTACAAAAAAGTTAATATTTACTTTTTTAAGGAAAAAAGAAACTCCCAAGGCCCTCCCTGGTGGCACAAGCAGGTAAAGCACACACTATTAAGCTATCCACAGCCCCTGCAGCATGAGTTGGACCCCTGACCAAACAGGGAGCTAACCCACAGGGTACAGCAGACATCTCCTGTCTTATCTGCTGCTTCTCTCAGCAGTGTATTTCAGTAGATCTGCCTGTTCTGTTCCCCATTCTGTCTCTGATGAAGGCTCTCACCCCTGCACCTCTGGCCTGTACCCCAGTTCTTGTATGCGCAAATAAATAAGTCTTAAAAATAGTTCCCCCCACTCTCCTGCACTGCTGGTAGGAATGCAAACTAGTACAACCACTATGGAAAACTGTTTGGAGGTTCCTCCAAACTGCTAAACATGGAGCTTCCCTA